AAATGAAGGTTCCATGGGCTTTTCTCCCATGGACTTTAGCCCATTTGCATCATCATGGTCAACTCTACTTTGAGGAGGCAGCTCTTCCCCAGTCTCATTTTGAGTGCCTTCCAACCTGAGGGGCTCATTTTCCAGCACTATATCTGGCAGTGCTTCTCTGCTATACATAAGGTTTTCAGTTACTAAATATTCGGAAGTAGTTCATCAGTCCTTCTTCCTAGTCTGTCTTCGTCTGGAAGCTCATATCAAATCTGTCCACCATGGGTGACCCTGCTGGTATTTAAAATACTAGTGGCGTAGCTTCCAGAATCACAGCAACACACAAGCCACCACAGTACAACAAACTAACAGACGAATGATGGGAAGAGGTAACTACAATATATTATTTACTTAGAATTGTATTGCATTGAATAAAGAATTGAAAGTTTGTAATGGCCTTTGTTGAGAAAGAAGGATGCCAAACCCAGTTAAGGGCACAGTTGAGTCTATAAATGATAAATCAATAATAGTATCAGACCACATTACTATGTTTTTTCTAGCCATGCTATACAGCAAAGTCTTAGGAGGAGAGAAGGTGAATGATTGGATTAACCCAATATTGAGGGTTTGCAGGATGGGTAAAGTAGAAGGATGAGGGAATAAGAATTCTAACATTGTTGGGAACACACCTAAAACCAACCCAAGGATTTGTTCTTTCCCAGCTTAGTGCCTATAAGTTATGAAATCTTTTCTATTTCCCCAGATAATGATTCTCCTTGTCACTGCAATATCCATCTGTATGTTGTGGGTTTTATGTGAATTCTGGAATGATAAGTGGCTGACAGTTGGGCTGTCACTGAAGGTAAGCATCATCCTGCAGGTCTAGCACTATCTGCCCAAGTGTGTCCAGCCTGACTTCTGACTTTCTCCCAGGTCTTTGCTCCCTACTGGCACCTGGTCTGCATAATGTTGATGGTTATCTTTTCTTGGCCTGTGTCCTACTACTTGATCCAGTTGGAAGGAGAAGGTATGTCATGTTAGCAGAGCCTTGCCTGACCCCTTCAGCTTTGATTTTACCTTACATACTTAACTCAGCAACACAGAACCTTGGTAACTAGCCAGCCCTATGCCTTTAAACAAGTTTAGCTTGTTACTCAGGCATGTTCCCGTGGTCTCGCGCTCTACTTTTAATGACGTACCATAATACTGATTTCCCTGACCAAATAGACCTTCTATAGATGGATTATCTTTCTTGAAAAAAAGGCTTTTCTCTATGTCGTTACATATTGACTGTTCAAGAATGGGGAAGTGTGGGGTAAGGGAGGTGGATGACGACCATGGAGCACTCTCACTTTATTTGACTGGATTGCTGCTAAAGGCACAGTTCTTTCCATTTTATTTGGAAAATCTTACTAGTTTTAATGAATTTATATCAGACCCAGAAACTCAAAGCACACTCCAGTGAGTCCCTGTCACACTTGGAGACTTGGAGACTCATAGCAGGAGCAGAGATTTCTAGTTCTGCCACTGGTTTTCTCTTAGTTCTTTTCCTTTTATAATGGAAACAAAAGAGAATCTGCTGTACACTTAATTATTTTGAGAATGGAGTTATTTCTTATTACCCTTGTCGGATCTTCTGTCTAAGTTTCCTGATGTATTCGATGTGGTTTATACAAGGAATTTGCTTCCTTGTAGGAGGACACAGGCAAGAGAAAGACTGAACTGATAGTCTTACCATTGTACTTATGTATCTGTGTGTGTGTGTGTGTGGCGTGAATTTTAGAAAACAACCAATGGAGAAAGAGCTTAAAGTGACAATAATGAACCCTTTTCTTTTTCCTTCTTAAATTCTAGCTAGATACAGAAGATACTTGTTGACATATTATGAGAAAGAAAGAACCAAGAGATGTCATGCACTCACAAGGTTGAAAGGTTAGAAATTGAGACCTGGACTTGAAAGTCAATGAATCAACTTGAAGTGTACAAGTGTACACTCCTCTTAAGTGTAAAATATTAATTGTTGAAGAATGACCATTGATAACAAGCAGTGTGTGTATGTATGTGTGTGTAAGAGAAAGAGAGAAAATCAATTCACTAATACTTACTGAGCACTTATTTTTAGTCAACTTTGTCATAACTCTGTGAATTAGATGATAATGAGATAGCCCCATTTTATACATGAAAATGAAGACCTAGAGAGGTTAAGCAACAATTAAAAAGGGGCAGAGCCTGACTTTCAACCCAGATTTCTGTCAGCTAGTGCCCTTCCTCTAAACTGCACTGCCTTATATCTAGGGGTATCTTAGGTTGATCTTTATAGGCTTTAGGGATTTCTCAAAATCATCCAACTTCCTGTTCCTGAGAATCTGGTCCTTGACATCCCCTCTCCTTCCTCTCCTTCCCACACCCTGCATTAACTCATTCCCCTGTCAATTTCTAGTTCTAGTAATGCTACCTTAATCATGTTGTTGTTAAGTGCTGGCAAGCCAGTACTGACTCATAGTGACCCTGTATAGGGTTCTGAGGAGTGGCTGGTGGGTTTGAACTGCCGCCCTTGTGGTTAGCAGTTCAATACTTATCCTATAACACCACACCAGGACGACTACACCTTAATCATAAAGCTTTATATTTGGGCAGTCTTGTACTTTCACATGTAAATCTCTGAAAATAGGTGGGGATGTGATAGCTGCAGGGTAGATTAGCCACGCCACAGAGTCAGTGAAACCTGTGGGCTGGGTATTTACCCAGATTGCTGCTTTGGGATGGCCTGGTGCTTGAGATGGTTCTTCATCCTCCTATTTTTTCAATTCCCCCTTCTTCCAACTTTTTCAGCTCTACAAATAGTTGTCGGACTGCCCTTTATTATTGTCCTTTTGTTTCTGTACGTGATGCCAATGGGGATTCATTCTCCCTGTATTCAGGAAAAGGAGGCATTAGGGCCCAAGCCTAGCTTCATTGCACATAGAGGTGCCCCCATGGTAAGTCCGACCATGATGAAATAAGGTAAGTAAAGGAGTGTATAGGGTATATGACTTAAAGTAAGGTACCTTAGAACCATAGGAGCTTCTGGAGAGGAAAGGGGTTAGCTTGGGATAAGAATAAGGAGTTAATTTTGTCATTAGACTCAAATCAGCTTCACCTGACTTCTAGGGTACTTACCTTTACCATCCATTTATCTTTTCTTTCACAGCTAGCACCTGAAAATACCATGATGTCTTTTGAGAAAGCTGTTGAACTTGGGGCCCATGGGCTGGAGACTGATATACACATAAGGTAAGAAAGCAAGGACAGAGATGAGAGTGGGGTAGGAGGAGATCAGGCCAATATTATGGAAGAGGACCAGTCTGACTCAAGGAGTGGAGGGAACAAGTCCTGGAGGGTTTCTCCTGTGTTTATATGTTATATATGTTTATACACATATATGTTATATATGCAATACCACACGTATTAAACATATCCCCCTTGCAAATCACATATCTGTACCTCCACATTCTCAATCACAAATAGAATAAAAAGTAAACATCCTTGCATGTGTACCATAAGTATATATTTACCCACACACATTAAATTTGTCTCCATTGCAAACCATGCATTATATACTAACACTTACTTACCTTAGCAATTTATTTAACATTCATTGGCCATCTGTTGTATGAGGGTAAGTGAAAAATATTATTACAGTGTTGCAATTCATAATGGAGGTGGTGATAGTGGTTATGTGCTGTGGAGTGGGTTCCGACTCATAGCAACCCTGAACAGAGTTTCTGAGGCTGTAAGTCTTTACAAGAGCAGAAAGTCTCATCTTTCTCCGACAGAGCTGTTGGTAGTTTCGAATTGCTGACCTTCAGGTAAGCAGCCTGACTCTTAACCATAATGCCACCAGAGCTCCTTACACTGGTTTGTTTGAAACAAAACATGTTTAAACATTTTTGTGATCAGTGGATAGTTGCAGATGAGTTCTTTCAGTAATGTTACAGTGGCTTACAAAAAAATGTCCATTTGAAACAGTGACTCTGAGAGGATCTGCCATTTCTGTTAAACTCAGGGAAGTCAGCTCAGAAGTTTATGGTAACTTTTTGGGGGACTGTTAGGGGGTAATCTTGATAGATTTTCTCAAAGGACACAATATGATCAAGATGGCTTATTCTGAAGAAGAAAAGTTGTGTCAAAAGGAATTGTTTCCAGCATGACAATGAATCTACTTGAATAGCAAAGGTGTCCTATGAGAATTTCACTAGGAAACCTTATAACCATTAACTCTACAGTCTTGATCTTGCACCTTCATACTTATTTTTGTTCCCCAAACTCAAAGAACACTTAAAAGGAACATAATTTGAATCTCTCAGGGATGTCAGAACTAGTTTCTCTGTGTAATTCTGCAAAGAATGCAGAATTCTTTGGTTTCTCAAAGGTTAGATAGATGGAAACAATCTTCAGAAATGTATAGACCTAGCTGGAGGATATTTCAAGAAGCAGTAGCTTTACATATTGACGTTTTTGGTTAGTAAAGATTTCTACGATTTTGTAGCAATACTTTTTTTACTTATTTTCAAATTCCAGGCAAAGAGTGGAAGTGAATAAATGAGTAAGACACAGTCCATTAAGAGAATACTGGTCTGGAACACCATCTATGTTTTAAAACCTGCTGGGTAGCACACAAATGGGAAAGACCAGAATAAAATCTTTAAAACACAGGTACATTTGAATTACAGCCCACAAGTCCTTGAGTTCTGAACCTGACTAAATAAGCTGACTTGTCTGCTAAAATATATTTAAATGGAAGCCATAATATAATACTCAGAATACCTATGATTGAGTACACATTCATTCATCATACCAAAACCCACAAAACTCTCAATCTTGAATAAGAAAAATGTAATCATTAGATGCTAACACCACAAGAAACAGGTTCAGAATGATCTGACAAGAATTTTGAAACAGCTGCCATAGATTGGTTCCAGTGAGCACTTCTGGACACGTGTGAAACAAATAAAAGGGCAGAAAGTCTTAGCAAAGTAGTAGAAGAAATAAGGAATAACCAAATGGGAATTTAAAAATAGAATAATGTAATAAAAAAGCCAACCTAATTGGATGGGTTCAAGAATGGAGATAATAGAGAAAATAATAAACTCGAAGACAAAGTAATAGACATTGTTCACTTTGAACAACAGAAAGAAAACAATGAAAAACAAGAGCAGAGACTATAAAAATAACAAATAATAACAAAAAGTTTATAGTGTTGGGGTCCCAGAAAGAAAAGAGAAAAAAATGGGACTATAAAAGTATGCAAAGTAAAACAAATCTATGAGATAGAAAAATAGAGAATCAGATAAAGTTGCAACAGTAACAACAATAAACAAATCATAAAGTAAATAAAAGAAATGATGTAGTTACAGAACTTCCAAACTAAGAAGAAATGAAATAGATTCAAGAAAATATAAAAATAAATCTAACTGTAACCCTAAAAACTAGACCAAGCCTTACTCCTAGCCCTAGCCCAACCCTTACCTTTAACACTAACCCTAGTTCTAACCATAACCCTAGCAATAAGTGAAGTCCTAGATCTAGCCTACATCTAGCCATAGTCCCAATCCCAGCCCTCACTCTTTTTTTTTTAATGTTTTATTGTGAATTATGTGATAGTTTACATGGGAGAACATTAGTTTTACATTCATTCTATCATATATTGTCTCATTGCCATGGTTACAATCCCCTCCATGCAATCCTTCCCCCGTACCCCCCAGGTCTTCAGCACACAGTCGCTCGCTCTCTCTGGATCTAAAGTCTCCAGCTGCTCCATCGCTCCACGTCATCATCTCTGGCTCCATTTCAGGCATCACTGCTTCTCTGGGTAGGGTCCCGCTCTCTGCTCTTCTCCCTTGATGGTCTTAGGGACCTCCACTCCTAGACTGAAAAGTTAATCACTCCCCTCCTTGCTATAAAACGTCTACCTTTACATTTCCAACCATCACAATCAGTCCTGATAACAATTATTCACTATTGTATCTCAAGAGACCCATCTGCATTTCACTGCATCAACCCTGCCTAGACAGATTGAATACTACTCACTGGAGATTCTACCTTCCTCCATGCCCTCTGGATCTAGGTTCCCTCTTGAAAGCTTGTAAGCTAGTCACTTCTTGCCTTTGTAGCCCCCCCAACCCTCATTTTGGGTAGCCAATGTCCAAGTTGCCCATCCCTGTCTACTCTGTGTGTGGAGGGTGTGGGAATGATTCTTGCTGTAAGGACTTGTTCCCTCTTTTGAGCTACTGCTTCCATAGGTGTAGGTCAAGTTCATCAAATTGTATGAGAATACTTTTTTTTTTCCCTCTTCTTTTTATTTCTGGTTGAGCTCTGATCATCTAGTCACTGAAGCCAGGATAAGTGGGTATTATCTGCAAGTGTGGGTGTTCTTATGCATATGCCCTGTCTTCTTATCAGCTGGGCCCTTCACTCTCTACTCTAATCCTCTGTGGCTATGTCACTGACTCTGGGCTCAAGAGTCCCCAGGTGTTGCCACACTGCTGGCCAACCAGGTCTTCACCCGGGTTCACAGAAGTCTATTGAACGTCGTAGGGCTTAGCTCACTGCTTCATTGCTGTTTTCCCCTCACTTCCCCTTATCGGTGTCGAGCGTGGTCACCAATCACAGCCTGTATTCCCACTGAGTCTTAGTCTTGGAAGGGGGTTTGCACTGTGGTCAACCTTCACTCTTATTCTTACCCTTCCTACCCACCTCTCAAATACCTACTGGTGCTTATAAATCATGTGATGTAAGTAAATTCAATGATCAAAATAAGAATTCTGTAGAGTAGTGCTGGCTAGTTTTACATTTCCCCACACATTCTCTTAATGACTACAGAGAGCCAGGAGCGAAAAACATGCCCAGAAACGTCCCTACAGACAAAGGAACGGGAAAATCCCTGAGTTAAGCCAAAGGCTGGAAATAAATACAACAAAGGAGTTGGTACGAGATTCCTTAGTGGTGAGGAGAGACCAGAGCAGTGAAGAAAAGGGGGAAATGCAGAAAAGGGATGGCATCCAGATAATAAAAGTAAAGATTAGCCTTCAGAAGGTTAACCTCTGTCCTTAACAGGAATTACTTAGAGTAGTTGGGGCAATGAAAGCTCTGACATTGAAAAGAAGGGGGTTAAAAGTTCAGGGAGTTGGGAAGAAATCTTGGAGGGCACATTGAAAGGTGGTTGCATTCTGTAGAGGCAGCAACTTATTTCTGAAGAGAAGAAAGGGAGCATTGACATTGATGATGCTTTTGCAACAAGATCAGAGAGAAGAATCAGGAGAAATCTGTCCCCCAAAAGTTCACTATACATTAAAGAAACGGCCTTTACTTTGAGCAACAGGAGACAAGTAAGCCTTGAACTAAGAGAAATGTAAAATGTCCAATATTTTCCCTTCTCCCAATCACGTTTTAAATTCATCCTTCTAGTTGATTTTTTTAACAGTAGTAGTCAGGAGTGATCAGTCTCTGGAGAAGTACATCATGCTTGGTAAAGTGGAGGGTCAACACAATAGAAGAAGACCCCCTTATGGATAGACACAGTGGCAGCAACAGTGGGCTCAAACATAACAATTGTGAGGATGGCCCAGGGCTAGGCAGTGTTTTGTCCTGTTGTGCATAGGGTCATTATGAGTTGGAACCAACTCAGTTGATCTCATAAAAACAGTAGTTCAACAAATTCCAAAATCTTTAATATGAACAAAAATTACATTAAGCTAGTTTTACAAGTGTACCATGAACATCAATATAAAATGATTATCCAAAGTTTTTGGGCCAGTGAATTCATACTAGAAAAAAAAATATGAACAGAGGAAAACTGTAACACACTTCAACATGAATTAATCAAAAATAATCATGAAAAGGCACCATGAAACAAAAATTCAAAATCTTAGATAAAAGCAGTCATACATGTACACCAATGTTCACTTTAGCACCATTCTGAAGAGCCCAAAGAAACAACTTAAACATCCAACACAGAAGAGTGAATAACCAAATTTGGTTCATTGGAAATGAGGACCTGATAGATGTTACAATGTGTGTGAACCTTGAAAGCATTATACTGAGATCAGTCAGTCACAAAAATGTAAATATTGTATCATCACTATATGAAATGATGTTGTTAACAAATTTTGGGTTCTCTATATATGAAATGATAAGAATAGGCAAATATATGGAGGCCAAAATTTGTTAGTGGTTACCATGTATAGGAGGGAGGGGGAAAAAAGGTAGCCATTGTTTGGGAAACAGTGAGTTTC